TTTAAAACTCTTCATGAGGTATTTTTGTACGAATGGAATTTCGAAGTACAAACCATTCCCAAGATTATCTCTGCAATTTAAAAATTTAACACTATTAAAACGAGGAAGATGGTTGGTTTGTTGAACTCTTCAAATGCTGTCCAGCATTATCAAGTATCATAATTTATTTGTAAAATCTATACACTGGAATAAAGAACAAATATGAAGCAAGCTAACTGTGCAACCGATTTCAAAAAAAAAGTATGCAAAAATATGGAGAAATCAGCTTGCTGGACATATCTGGGATTTTTTCTCAATTCTGCTGATTCACGACAGGATATAGGAGGATAAGCCAATCACTAATCAGGCTGGATTCATGCTGAGGCAAAGGTGTGGTTGTGCTAATAAAATTTTCACTCTGAGAAGGATATTGGAACGTTGCTTCAAATTTCAGCAATTTCATTGATTTTGTCTTTTAAGCAGCTCTCTGGCAAATCATGCAGCATGATGGTGTTCAAGAATGGTAAAGAAATTTGCCAAAGTGCTTTCTTAATGCACTAAAGTAAAGTGTGAGCGCATGGTGAACAACTTTTTAATATGAACTGGCATGCGCAAGGTTGTGTTCTTCTACCTATAATTTTCAACCATGCGATAAAGTAGCTTATGAACACCACGTATTAATAATAATCGAGAAAAAATAAATCACTCCAAAGCATAACACCATAGATTTTGCTGATAATGTTGCCTTTTTCATTGATTGATAGTTTCAGAGAATTACAACAGATCGAGTGCTGATAAAAGCAAGAGAAAGCGAAAACTGGCCTTCGTATTAATTAAATAGGATGAGCTTTTCTTTACTTTATAAACCTGGTGAAATATTAATTTATGTACATTTCTCACTGGTTCAGAATATTAAAATCCAGTTATCCATCCTCATCCACTGGACGAAAGAAAAATGAAATTAAAAACGTTTTCTTACGCCTAGCAAAAAACCTCTAAAAACCTCTATGGAATCGCCGTTTAGTTACTGCTGCAATGAAAGCTCGCATCTGTCGGGCTGTTATAAGTAAAAATTTTTACGGCTGCAAAATATGTCTAATTCGGAAAATACTTTTGACCATTCATAGCTTAGATATACTTGTGCTGCAAACTCCTCGCGCAGATTTACTTAGCATCACCTACGGTTAGGTAGTGTTCTTTGTTGTTTACCGCATTTGCATATGCCAGTAATGAAAGGCGTGGAGGCCCAACCTAAGCCTGGTTAGATATATCCAGAAGAGATTTCGACATCAAGCATTAGTGCCCAGCGATATGTGAAAAGGAATCAGCACCAATTAATTTCAGGCATAGCTTGGAATGCTTGGAAATGCCTTACTGGTCGCCAATACAATCAGCCAAACCAGTAAGTTTTAGAAGGCGACAGATATTAGGGATTTTTCCCTCTTTTTCTTCGTCTATCAGCATATGAAATCTTTGGTTCGATTGATTCCACTGATTAACAGGATAAGATCTTGAGAATCTGAATCTCCGACGTTCGAATTTCACTATTATTGGATTTTACTCCTGCAGGGAATAGGACCTCAACATTAGCGCTCCGAATTGAGCCATTCTATCCCCGAGTATACTAATTACAAACTATCGTCAACCATATCAGTCTTTGAAATAAGCTTGCTTATTAAGAAACCATTTCCTAAACTCTTTGTCATTTCACTAATAATGCATTTTTTAAGATTATTGGTAATTTTGCTCTCAATTCCTGAGAAAGGTGATAGGATACACTGTGATATTTATCGAAGAATCAACTTACTGGACATATGTAAGAAAATTTTTCTACCGCTCCTACTGAATAAGTAAATAGTAATAGTTAAAGTAATATGAGACAGCAAGTTATCTAAGCAAGCTGGATCTAGACTGGGACGCGGTTGTGCTAACCAGATATTCACGTTAAAAAAGGTGTCGAAACATCGCTTCAATATTAGCAACTCACTATCACTTTTCATCGATTTTGCCTCCGATTCAATTGATGGAGCAGCACTTTAAAGGATAATGGAAGGGGACGATATTCCAGAGAACATTTGAATCATAAAGGCAAGTTTATCAGCGGTATATATATGGGGAATTTACAGACTTCCGAATTAGAATCCTATAAGGTTATTTCCTTTTCCTTAGAATATTCAACTATGCGATGAACTGGATAATGGACATTTGCCGGCATCAAGAGGTGTGCAAACCAGTCCAGAGTGTAGTAATATCCCAGATCTCAAGTACATTGATGATGTAATCCTTTTTACTACAATTATGACGAAATACAAATAAACAATTTGTTGACAGTTAATAGGACTCGAAATATAAATAAAAGGAAAGCCGTTTCGTCTTATATATTAGAAGCTCAAAAAATATCGACTTTTATCATTTCAATGCTGATTGTGGAAATGCGCGATTTTAAATATATTCCAAACGGTGAGGCAAAAGACGAAATTACAAACGGCTAGAAGCCGACCGCCTTCTTTCAGTTTTTTTTTCAAGAGTCTTCACCATTACTGGTTAAACTCACTCCATTGGCTTGTCGCATTGGGCAATAAGTCAGGGAGTCTCTCGAGAAAAACAGGTGAGTCGCCAGCATCACCCGGATTTTTGTATGGGTTGTATTCCTGCGGAGAATCGAACCTTGGCATCGGCGTTCCAAATTGAGCAACAACCCACCGAGCCATTGTATCCCCAATGCTTTCGGTTGACGAAGCCTTTATGGAGTCGTCGCGAATCACTATAAAAATGGCAATCCGCCTCCACTTTGTTGCAATACACTCGATCTTATATAGCTGCCAGAAATGGCCAATGAGAATGGAAGATATTAAGAAGCCATATGCCTTTGACCATTCATAAATATATATATATACATACATAAATACATTTTATAGGCTCGCCGAGCAAATAAAATCCCACGTGATTACATCCACCTTTGCCCAAGTACCATTTATATTAACAGTACCATCATAGAGCGTCTCCTTCGCTGGTTAGGGCACGTTCTCCGTCGTCCAACATAAGTTGATGCATATTTCATTCCTTGCTAAACCGTGTGATGGCTGGCGTCAAAAGCGAGGAGAGCCAATCAAAACCTGGACTGACTGTCAGGAAAGATTTTGAACGTATAGGAGGACCAGCGATATATGGACTTAAACGACGGAAAAAGGAATGGCTTCGATTACTACTAGCGATGGCGTCGGAGTGAACTTGGAGTCCTTACCCCTACAGCCAGCGAAACCTGTCTAACCAGTAATGAATTGGTCCAAATGTAATAGTTAGGAAAACTGGTCGACCACAGTTGTTAAAAGGTTAAAATATTAAATTTTCGGAAAAAAAGTTAAAAACCTACCTATCATCTTCACAAAACGCAAACATTACCGATTCTTTATTCGTCTTCTTTTATTAATAATTTTTATGAAAAACTTCAAATTGCTTTTTATTATCGGAAATTTAAATAAAAGAACAACTTATCCACGACTTATCCACGAATAAAGTTTCGAAAACTTGGAACTTGTTGATTTTTATACCAAAAGCGGGTCACCCAGTGTATTTGCCAATCTGCCAGTACCATATGAACCTGGCAACGCTCCTTGGCCGTTACCAGAGCTGCCTCTGGGAAGGCCTGGCCTTTTCCAACGTTTTTGCCTTCTGCCAGGACCTGCCAGTGCAACATTCAGCGTACAGCCTTTCGCATAAATAACACCTGCAGGTATATTAAGCAAATAAATCCTCAGCCTGCCAGGCAAACACCAAGTTCCCCATTTTTCATTTATTGCTAATACCACACTTATCCGTTGTGCATTTCAGGGAACATCGCAAACAATTCAACATTTCTCAGTCTGAGGAGACGAGTTTTAGTAGTATCGGGCTTTAATGTTAGGCAGCAATGACTAAGGCCGAACACAACCACAATTGCAATTACTCATCTTTTCTCGGCGCTTGAAGTCGGCATTTTTATTAGTTCGATGAAAGGATTCAGGATTTCGGAATTATCGCTTAGATTTGCAGTTATCTAAAGGGAAATCAAAGGAAATGGAGAGGAGCTCGTCTAATTTAAGAGAAAATTCGGACGAAAAGGTTCCTCTTTATTTTTATCATTTTTTTCTCATTTTCCCTTTTTCCTACTTTTTTTAGCATTTAAATAGCAATTGTTTAAAGACATTTTCATGCTTTTTTCAAGTTTGGCGCAGTGGGATCGCAAAATTTGTTATTGTGAAAGGCTTAATTGCTCGACTTTGACGAAAAGAGTTCGGTAATTTTCACTCTGAACCAAATCTGTCATTTTTCCTGACAACGATTTTCATAGCACATACGCCTTTTTTTATCGGAAATTCAATTATAGTAATACGAGATTAATTAAGAAATTAATTTTTATAATGATAAAAGGATTGATAAAACGATGACAATAACGATGACAAACGATAATATAATAATAATAACAAGCACAATTAACGATAACAGCAATAATAATAATAGTGATAATAATAATGAAAAATTTTTTCGGATGGATCTATTTGTAATCCACACGATTTATCAATTAGTCTGGCATTAATTATTAGGACATTGACCATCCTACTTTTCTGTTTCTTACTTCCTACATTTCCTATTTCCTACTTTTAAGCACTATTTATTTGTTATGTATATGCAAATGTTTTATGTACTTACGTTATTATTATTATTTTTGAATTATTATTCATTTATAGATTTTTTGCTGTTTATTGTTTTTGCTTACTCTAAATTATTGTTTGGTATATTCATTTAGATTCGGGTAAATTAAAAATTAAAAACTATTTTTTTCTTTGATTTTTAATTGTTATTTTTAATTCTTAGTTCATTTCTTTAAATTAACTTTTTCGTTATATTTTTACGTTATTATTAATAATATAATATATTTAGATGTTATTCGGTTGATTTTATTGGAAATCATTCGTTTTTTATTTCACTATAGATATAAAACTTTATTTTGTTAAATTCGTTAAATCAAAAAAAAATTGCAGATGGAGAGAGAAAGGAAATCCAGTGATAGGTCTAATGAAAAGGAAAATTCGTCTCATCTAGAAAAAAAGCACCGTCATTACCATCGTCACAAGCACCGAGATGTGAGCAAAGATTCAGAAAAATATGAAGAAAATTCAAAGGATGAAAAATCAAAAGATACCCCTAAATCATATTCTGAATTAAGAAAAAAGAGGAAATCAAGGAATAAAAATGATCACCGTCCAAGTCACAGACGATCTTCATCCGATCAAAAAAAGGAAAAAAACGCTGAAAAAATAGATTCTTCTAGAACAGAGGTTTTTTTTAAATCTTTTAATTGGATTGAATTAATGCGAAGCTAAAAACTTTTCGAATTCAATTCTTTTACCTAATTTTAGATAAATAAGCATTTTTCTCAACATAATATGTAATATTGTGATATTTGGCTTCCAGATTACAACTGATCAGCGGAAGTCTGCTAAAGAGCCAGTTGATTTGCTAAAAACCCGTACAGGCGGTGCATATATTCCACCAGCGAAATTAAAAATGATGCAAGAACAAATAACTGACCAAAATAGCGAGCAGTATCAGAGAATAAATTGGGAGAGATTAAAGAAAAAAATTCACGGAACAGTAAATTATAAAATTTATCGCATTATAGATAAATTCCAATTCCATTCCAAATTTTCAATTTTTTAAAATTGTTTTCAAAATTTAATTGACAAAACAGGAAATATCATTTAAAATATTTTGATTGAGAAAGAATCATTTCAAAAAATCATTTCTTTTTATTTATCATTTTCTGCTTTTTCGACATGTAAAAATTTTGTTTATTTATTTTTTGTTCGATTGTGGTCTACTGAGTATGGTCAAGCTGCCGTAAACTGTGCATTCTTTTGCACAAAAATATATTTCACAAGAAACTGTTACTTCTCGTTTTTTAGGTAAACAAGGCGAATACGGGCAATTTAGTCGCCGTTGTTCGAGAACTTTTGCAAGAGAATATTATCAGAGGAAAGTACGTTTAATTCATTAAATCACTTTCTCACTTTATGATTAAATTTTGTGAATTATTTGTTGATAAATTAATTTTTTTCAGAGGTCTTTTGGCGAGATCAATCATTCAGGCTCAGTCGTTTTCGCCCACTTTTTCCAACGTCTATGCTGCACTTGTTGCTGTAATAAATTCGAAATTCCCTAATATTGGTGAATTGATTTTACGGCGATTAATAATTCAATTCAAACGAACTTTTCGACGTAACGACAAGGCTATGGTTTTGAATATCGTCATGTTCATTGCTCATTTGGTCAATCAGCAAGTGGTATGTCATATTAGTTGCTTTATTTAATCAGCTTTTACATTCGTTAAAATGTTCCAGTAAGATACTTTAGTCAACAATTTCTATCTGAATCCCGAGAATGAACTCAGTTTGTTGTATTAATATTAATAGTTGATATTAATAGTTGATATCATCATATATAAATTTACAAAATTGATTTTGGGTATCAAATTGTAATTTGCCCACAACTTTATTTAGGTCCATGAAATTGTTGCTTTGGAACTGATGCTTCTTCTGCTAAATAAACCGACAGATGATTCTGTGGAAATAACCGTTACTTTTCTGAAGGAGTGTGGTGCAAAACTTACCGACGTCTCTCCTCGAGCAGTAAACGGTAATTTTAAATTATTAAAAGGTTTTTTAAAACCTTAAAGGTTTTTTGTTTTTTAAAAAGTTTTTTTCTTTTTAAGGTTTTTTAAGGTTTTTTGAACTTTTGAACCAATTTTCTACTTTATTTTAATTAATTTTTGATTTTAATTGGAATTTTTGATTGCAATTTATAGCAATATTTGATCGACTTCGAGCTATTCTTACTGAAGAGGGAAGTATCGATGTGAGGGTTCAGTATATGATTGAAGTCATAACGCATGTGCGCAAGGATAAATTCAGGGTTCATTATTCATAATTTTAAGAACTGAGATTTATTGCTCTTACCCCGCTCGCAAAATAATGTATTGTATGCAATGTCTGATAAGTGAATCCACCAAAGTAGCGTTGATCTTGGTAGAGACAACCTATTTAGAATTTCAATTTTTCCAAATAAGTGAACTATTCATTAAGTGAACTGAGTAACAGTGAAGTTATATCATTACATTATTTTACCCAATTTTTAATAAATTATACATTCAATACTATCAACCATTACGAAAGGTCGATATCATTTCTGGTTAAGGTTCGTTCCGCTGGCTTATCGGGCCGGAAAAATTTTGTATGGATGTAAAAATATAAATAAATCATCATCTGGGTTTTTGAAAGATAAATTCAAGAAAATATTAAAACATTTTGTGGAAAATATTTTTAGGCATACCCTGCCGTTATAGAAGAACTTGATTTAATTGATGAGGATGAACAAATAACGCATATGTTGTCTCTTGAAGAAACTTTGAATCCAGAGAATGAACTGAGTTCGTTTGTTAATTATGCTAAAATCAAGAGACAAAAATCAAGACTTTTCTAAAAAAAACTGAATTGTGAAAAAAGCGAATGTAGTATATTTCTCTCCTTTTTGGTTAAATTTAAAATTTTAGATGTTTTCAATTTTGATCCTGATTTTCAAAAAAATGAAGCCATGTACAGTGAAATTCGTCAAGAAATTATTGGTTCAGCTGATGAAAACTCTGATGAAGATGAAGAGGAAAGTGAGGGTGGAAATGAAAATACTGAATTCGGTAATGTTTATTTTAAATAAATTGTTCTTGTGTCTAAGTAAATTTTGCATTTTTTCATTTCAGATGAAGGAAATAAGACGACGATAATTGACAGTACAGAGCAAAATTTAGTTGCATTCCGTCGTACTGTTTATCTCATCATACAGTCTTCTCTAGATTTCCAAGAAGCTGCACATAAATTGATGAAATTGGATTTGAAATCTGGACAAGATGTTAATTTTCACTTCTATCACTTTTTTCTAAGATCGTTCACCATTTTTAATTAGGCTCATTCCGCTGGCTTTCCAGGTCAGAAAATTCTAAAAGGAAAATATCTAGAAATTTAATTGAATCATCATTCGGACTTTTTAGAAAAAAAGTTTGCTTCTTTTCTATAGTATAGAATTAACACTGGCACTCTAAAATAACAGTGACAACCCTCTGAGTCATTCCACCACTGGCAATTTTTGATTCATCCATTGATTCATTTAAACATTGCACAGAATTTATTTTTTCATCTCTTTTATTTAGGTTGAATTATGTAATATGATTGTTGACACCTGTGCGCAACTACGTACCTATGAGCGATTTTTCGGTTTGCTTGCTGAACGTTTTTGTCGACTGCGTAAAGAATTTCAACAAGCTTTTGAACAAATAGCTAGGGACACGTATAACACAATTCATCGATTTGATATCACAAAGCTTCGAAATATGGCAAGATTTGTGGCTCATTTATTATGCACTGATGCCATTTCTTGGAATGTAAGGATTTTGTTTCCTTCATTATTATTTCATCAGCTTGTCTTTCTTTTTATTATTTTTAAATTTACATTCTTATTTATATATGTCAACCATCGCTTTATCTCGATGCCCTCAAACACTCAAATTTTAAGGTTCTAGAGGAAGTTTCATTAAATGAAGAAGATACAACATCGGCTGGAAGAATATATCTCAAAACGTTGTTCCAAGAAATAGTGGAAGATATGGGTGAAGTAAAAATAATGGAAAGAATACGTGATCCGTGAGTTTTTAAGTCGTTTACTATTTTAGTTTAAATGAAATACTAAGTTACTGTTATTAGGGAAACGTTTTTCTTTCAATACTTGTTGAGAAATTTTACTTTCAGTCATTGTTTAAAATATGTGGAAAGCGAAAAAATTTGCAGGACATTGCAGTCTGCATTCGATAAAATTTTCCCTCGTGATAATCCTAACAATACTCGTTTCTCAATCAACTTCTTCACTTCTATTGGATTAGGATGTCTTACGTTAGTTCATTCGCATTTTTCAGTTCTTTAATTTGAAAAATCTATCATTATCAAATTGTAAATTTTTTTATAAATTGTGGTATATGGATATTTTCATGAAGTTGATGATTTTATTTTATAGGTTGGATTTGCGCGCCCATCTTCGGAAGAATTCTCATAAAAAAGTTCGGAATTCCGCTTCTGATTCGAAAGATTCTATTTCGTCCAGTTCTAGTTCATCTAGTTCATCTAGTAATTCCGATTCAAATTTATCTGATGATTCTTCGGACGAATCAAATTCTTCTGGTAATTCGCAATTGAATAAGTTTTTACATTTAGTTAACGTTTGCATTTATAATGGTTATTTTTTTCGAAATCAATTACCAGGCCAATTTTTTGGGTGGAATTGGAAAAAGGTTTTGACTACTAGATGATATTCTTTCAATATTTCAAAACCTGAACATTTTTCGCATTAAATTGCGAAATTTTCTAATCAATTGGTTTTCAGACTCCGAGAACAAAAATGATCATTCGTGCAAAAAATCGGAAGAAAATAAAATAAAAAGACATAATATCAAACAAGAATTCTTGACGCCAGAAAAAGATGAATCAGTTTCGCAAAAAAAATTAGGGTCAGATGGTGAGCGACGATTTGATGAATTTGAGAATAATCGAAAATCTCGTCAAGGAAATACATTTTATCGAAATAAATCTGTTGATAAATATAAAAGGCAACATAAAAGGAAACAAAGCGGTTCAGAAGATGAAAGCAGAAGAAAAAGACAAAAATCGGAACATAAAAGACATAAATCGGCATCTAGAGAATATTCAAAAGAGAGAATCCGGAGACATTGAATTCATTTTGTTTATTATCTTCATCTTTATTATTTATTTTGTCCTGTAATATTATCTGCCTTGTTTTAATCAAAATGAGTGATGATTGTATTTTACAGAATGTTTGTGTTTAAATTTTTTTTTATCTTTTAAATTTTTGTCTTTGATATCTCTTGTTATTTCTGAATTATTAATAAATTAACCAGGAATCGATTTTAATTATTTTCGCATCAACACATCAGTTTTTTCGTTATTTACAATTTGCATCACATTTTTCAGCCTTCTAATACTTGTGATACCACTGCTTGAGACCTTTCCTTAAAGGGGCAATGATAATTTGTGGTACTTATTTGTACTGGCAGCAGTAAGTTGGCTCAAGTTTCAGAAGGAGGGGAGTTTTTGCTCTTTCTTGCAGTATGCAAAATAGAAAAGGGAAAGGATTTTAATTAATTTTACTGTATAAATGGAACGTACGGTTGGATTTTATTATTCACATTGAAATTTTTATTAACTGGTTGTGATGTCAGTTTTCGCAATTATCCTCGTTTTTCTCATTATTTTTGGTGCTTATATATTTGCAAAGTTCTTTACTGGAAAGGTTCTCTTTTGCTTTTTTTCAGTCGTTTTTTTCGAAATTTATTCTCAGCAATATATTAATAAATGTATTGATGAAAAGCAAAATATCCTGTTCAACACTGCAAAAATTTTCCAAAAATCTCGATGGCTTTTGATTTGTTTAGTCTTATTGTCGGTTATTTGCCTGAATATTACTTCAAGAAACGTTTATTTTATCATGTACTCTTTTTGTTCGCTTTTTTATTTGTCTAAGTAGTTTTATTTTGCTAAAGCTTTATTACTTTTACATCTCAGCAAGTAACTTGGTTCTTCGATTGTAATTTCTAATTCTTATCGAACCATTCTGATTTTTTTATTCTAACCTTCATTTCATTATCTAGGAAGTATATATTTTTGCTCAACAAAAATGGCTGCTTAATTCCTAGAAGACAGAATAGTATATTATGTTAGTCGAGGCACAATGCTTTGATTACCATTATCAAACCATTATATGCCGTGAAGGTATAAAACTAAGACAAAAAATCCGAGTGGTGCTTAGGACCCACCTTCTGTGTTAAGCAATTTTGACTGAGCATTTTGTTCTAAATCCTTATTAAACTAGAAATGATAAATGTTGTCGAATATTCATTGGTTGGATTATAGCTATTTATTCACATTGTAATTGTATTATATAATCTGCAATATGAATATATTTAATGAAATTTTTAATTATCGAATTACATTCAATAATTATGTGATTTTAGAAAAATGATAATAAACCAGCTTTAAGTTGTATGAAAATATTAAGAATTCTTCTTCTTCTTATAACATCTTACACCATTACTGATTAGGCTGGTTCCACTGGCTACAAGGATAAGGCAAGGGGTTTCCAGTCGGCGCGGTCTGATGCCAATGTCGACAGTAATAGAAGCCATTTTTTTTCAACGTGCCCTAACCAGCGAAGGAGACCTTTGCTCTGCGATAACATTGTTAATGGAAGAGGTATTGAAGGTGGGTGCGACCATGTGATATTTTATCCGCTCGCTAGACCAGTAAAATGTATAAGAGTGGTCAAAATCAAATAACTTCTTAATATTTTTCTACTCTCTTTGGCCTTATCTCAGAGCCATATAGTAAGATCGAACGAATCGCGGCTATGTAGATGCGGACTTTCGTTTTTATGGTGATTTCACGACGGCTTCATACGATGCTCTGAACTGATCTGCACATCTCTTGAGCCGACAAAGTGTCCATTATTCAGTCTATCGCATAGTTTATCTCTGAGTTATATAAAAATTTTGAGAAATTTTCTATTTATATTAATTTTTGCATCATTATCTAACACAGATACCATTTCTGGCGCGGCTAGTTCCTTGAAATAAGATTTCTTCTATAGAGATTCATCTGTGAATGGAAATTTAGGTGGGTCCCTGCCACCATCCGGATTTCACTACTTATGATCGATTAATGCTGTCAGTGGATAGAAATCGAGCCTATTTATTCTACTTTGGAGGTATTGCTCGATATAACATAGTCGATATAACATACTATTCAACCATCTTACCTAAATATTTAAAGAAAATATTCAATATTGATTTAATGCTTTGTATTATTATTTAATATTATTTAAATTTTATTTTACTTTAATGTACTTAAATAACATAAAATAATTGTTTGCGAGGATAATTGTAAAATCCGATTGAACTGTAGAGGAAAATTTTAAGCGAAAATTTTAGAATCGGAAGTCGCCGAAATCACGTTCGATTAAAAAAGAAATTAAAAGCGTATGTTATTTTTGAGGTTTTTTACATTTAACACATTTTTCATTAATTGAAATTAAAAAAATTTAGAATTTATTAATTTTACTTCACAAAGCTGTTTTGTATTGAAGACTTAGAAATCCGTGTGGTGTTAAGGATCTGCTTTGAAGTGATTGTCCGCCAGTGGAACCAGCAAAATGCTATTACGTGCTGTCAGATTAAGAAGAAGAGAGAAAAATTTTAATCAATTTCTCATTTCTGTGATTGATTGATTGATTAATTTATGATATGTACTTAGAAATAAATAATTTCAATGAATATCTAAGAACCTTTATAAAATCTTTAGAAAGTTGTACTGAGTTAAGGTTACCGTCGTACCAAATCTATATGAGGACACAAAACCAGCTGAGACTGCATTTATAACTCCAACTATGATCGGCCAAGTTGCATTTTCTTTCATTTATTATATATAAAAAATTACCATACTTCGAGAAAAATTATTGTCAAAATTATTAAAATTATTAATTATTATTAAAATTATTATTAAAAATTATAGCCGACTTATTGTCATTATTTTTCACAATTTTTCTCGATCATTTTGCTTATCCATATTCATATTCAAATTTTTATTTATAACTGATGCAGTGTTTTGTTTTTTTTCCACATTTTTTTCTTCGATGTCTTCAATGAGAAAATTAAAATTTCTATATTTAGACAAGTAATATCGTAACAACAAGTTCAGTGTCGCCAAGAAGTTCGAAATTTGAAAGCAAGAAATCCAAAATTTTCGGATCGATACCCAAATTAGACAAAGAAATGAAAAAGAAACATTCTCAAAAAAGTAAAGATACCAAAATAGGCAAATATAGTAAAAAAAGCAAGAAAGCGAAAATTAGCAAAGGTAATTTTTGAAGTTATTAAGAGCGAAGAATAGAAAAAGAAGCCAAAACGAAAATTCTAATAGTCGCCAGCTGAGCCAAACGAGCAATGGTGCTACTTTTTAGAAGAAAAATATCAAAGGAGAAATTCCATAAGTTAAAAAGAAAATTTGAGTGGTGTTTAATAAGGCGATGAAATGTTTGAATTTCTGCACTAAAAATTTTAGGAAAAAAATCGAAATCGTCAAAAGGAAAGAATTCGAAATTATCAGAAGGAAAGAAGTTGAATTAAATGATAAAATAATTTCAGATAATTTGCAATCATTTTGCAGTCCATTTCACTATTACATATTACATAATATTTTTTTTGATGCTAATTTTACATTTTTAAGGAACAAATTTCTGATAAACTTTTTTAAAGTTTCACTTGTTTTATCCTTTACGAAAACGATTTTAATACGCATTTCTAAAAAGATAATAAAGAATAATGACAAAATTTCTAAATTATTCGCTTAAATTAAATTATGAACATGCAAAGAAATTATATTTAAGTGAAATTCTGAAGACTTCTTTCTAAATTTGCAATTTCGACTTGAATAAGATAAGTGTCACCCGAGTCATTGAAATCACCGTGAAATCACTGTGAAATTACAGTTTCTGACAGCCGTGACGAACTAATCGCTGCGGGATTTGCGATTCTGAAGACGTATGCTATAGAAATAGAAATAAACAAAGTCCAAAAAGCTGCCATTTTGAACAAAATACATTTCGTCCGATAATAAATCTCATAAGTAATGACCGTCAGAATTTTCAACGAATAAGCGATTTGGAAAAAAAAATTTTTATTCCTTAATTTTGAGACAAACGATCAGTTGAGAAATTCATTTGTGCGACAAAAATATTTCACTTATAAAATAAAAATTATTATATCGCAAAAAAATAACTAATACCGAATTAATATTACTGCATTGGAATTACCGAATTGTTGTCGCCAACTGGAAACTTCTCGATGAATTTTTTGCAAATATTCAATTTATTATATAAAATAGGGAAAAACATTGAAAAGAATAAAAAACAGAATTGAATGAATGTAAAAATAGCCAATAATATAATTTAATATAAGCAAAAGTAGCGAAATAAAACTTTTTTTATTTGGTCACAAATTTTTTTAATAATTAAGAAAATATTTAACCTGAAATTAAAAGCTCGAAACCAACGAATCCACAAAAAATCGCTCAGTTTTTTCTTTATATTCATTTACTCAATGATTGAGTAAAACTCAATATTTAAGATAAAATAAATAAAGAATAAGAAGCGAACTCAATTCAGCTCGAATGAATCGTCCGAATCGATTGAAACTCTTAGCTGTTCCACGAAACCTTTGGATTCATCAATTTCATTATGTCTCGAAGGCGGTGAAATTTCCGGGATAGGCGGCAAATTTAAGAAATCGTTATAAATTTGATCAAAGCTTCCACTATCCGACAAACGATCCATTAATGACGCTGAAAATAATTTATTTTATCAGATTTTCGCAATTTCTTTTAAAGCCAAAAACACTGCAAATGAAGGAAGAATGCAAGTAGTATTTCGCTATTTATCTTGGAAAAAAAAAACAACGTAAAGAAATTTTCAAAACATTTAATTCCAGATATTATATTATTTAAAAATATTGTAATTGCAATGCTTTAAATTAAGAGTACCGTTGTAGCCACTGGAGCCAGTCTAACCAGCAATGGTGAGAGCTATTAGAAGAAGAAGAAGAAGCTTTAAATTAAGAGATAAAAAGAAATTTCTTTATAAAATTCTTTTGAAATTTCTGATTCTGATTTAAGGTTTTTAAAATTAAATTTTTTTTTATTTGGCGATTTTTTGAACAAAATTTCAACTGCAGTAAACTAAACTGAAAAATTTTTGAAATAAATTGGATCAAAAAAATGAGAATTTATGTTTCTATATTTTAAAATGATTTTTTTTTGTGAAGTGGACAGCCATAAACAGTATAAAAAACTGATTCTTGAAGCTGAATCTAGCTAATAATTTTACAAATGTCCGGCAAACATACTGATGTTGTGCTGTTGATATATATATCATCAAGGAAGAATGATCGAGTAGCTAATAATTTAAAAATCCATCCAAATTCATTTTAAGCACATTCACTTGGCTAGCTTTTTGATCAAAAGAATTAAACAGGAAGAAAACAAACATTAAATGGTTCTCCACTAAATATATAAGTGGTTCTATCGTATAATCAGAAGGAGAGAGCCAATCTTCAAAATGATAATCTAAGCAACAACTACTCGGCTATTCTGCCTGCTGTATTTCTATATAGACCTTTAAAAAAATAAAACAAATAAAGAGCTTGGATTTACTTCATATACATTTATCATCCATAGGTAAAAATACTTACAAATACTTACAAAATGATCGTTTTTTTCTAACGACTGGATCACTGAATCCACGGCATAAGCGATTTGATGATTTATCACTTGCGGAACGACGTCCCAGTTTTGGACTGATTAGAGGATGTGAAAAAAACGCTGTTTGTGTGACTGGCCTAATATAACAAGAACAATCTTCTTGCCTTACAGCGTATGGAGAACGGCCATCAAGACTCGTTGATGAAGAATAATCACTTGTACTAGTGGCCTATATCATAGAATATTTTAATATAATATAATAATAACAATGAAAATGAATTCTGATAAATTCCAATACTATAATAATAATGATTAAAAATAACAAATAATAATAATTAATAATAATATCAGCGATGTTCGAATAATATAAATACATAATGATCCTCTGGTTTATTGTTTTTATCCCGGAGCACTAGAATGCTGGAATTTTACTTCTGCAGGAGGAAAACTTTCTAGTGCCAGTGAATCATCTGTATTTCCAGTCAAATGATTTCCTAGAAAAATTTGCTTGGTCCGATAAACTAGCAGAGCGAATCTAACCAGAAATGGTTAGTTAAAAAAAAATTTGCACCTCTCAACATATATTCTTCAAAATTTATGTAAGCCCAACATCTCAAGAATTTTCCCAGGAATTTTCAGATTTATTCAACTGGTGGCATTTGAAAATTTATGAAGTGAAAAAATAAATAACCTCTTCTTCAGTTTCAGTAATATTTTCGAAAGCGGTGGGAAGGCTTTGATATCGTTTTTCTTGTTTTTTCTCCTTTTCTTTTTTCAATAAAAACGGATGCGGTTCCTCGGGGATAATTCGCCTTTGGCTTCGATTATTCGATGAAACGTTTCTTGCGCGAAAGTCCGCAGCTGCAGTCATAGCGATTTGCTTCCTGAAAAATTTTACAAATTATAATTTTATATACTAATAAAAATAATTTTGGCGACAAATCATCATCGGATAAAAAACATATCAAACAATATTGGGTAAATTTACGAGCAAAATAAAATTTCAACGACACTTTCAATGGAAAATATGAAAATTTACATTTAAATTTATGAAAGAAATAAAGGTGCAAATTTGAAAAAAAAAGAAATTTCCATTATATTTCCGAATAAAAGATACTTAAAAACCCGATTTGCAAGAATCAAACAAGTGATTAACATAAATGAATTAATAGATGATAGAAGAAATTTTCGGAGAGGTAAAAATGATGAAAAAAACAAACGAATATAAATAATTTAAAATGATAAAACCTATCGTTTTAAAAACGAGGAGGATCTGTGTGCTATTTGTTTTGCGTGACAACCAGCAATAACAATGGCAAATAAAAACAAAAATTCTTCGACCACCATCCGATTGAATTCAGTGTAAACAACAAAATACATTCGGTGACGTTTTTTTTTTTGAAGAGCTCTCACCATTACTGATTAAACTCGCTCCACTGGTTTGTCGCAGTTGAGTAATATGCCAGGGAGTCCCTAGGCGATAGAAACACAGGTGAGTCGCAGCATCACCCGGATTTTTGTACAGGTTTACTCCTGCGGGGAATCGAACCCCAGCATCGGCGCTCCCAATTGAGCAACAACCCACTGAGCTATTCTATACATTCGGTGACGTAAAAGAATTCATCGAGAATTGAGAAAAAGGATTGGAATGACCAATAAATTTACAAGAGTTACGAGGATAGGAGAGCTCGATGGGTTTCGAGCCACACGAAAATTTTCTTTTGCCGACAGCAATGAAAACATCGAAAAATATCAAGGAAGTTATGAGGAGAAAATTTTTCTTAGTGACATAAGACATATATAAGATTGAAAAGAAAAGTTGGAGTAAGGATGGAGGAGGAAAAAAATAATTTAAGATAAATAGCACGATACTTTTTTCCATTTTTAGACGAATTTAAAGAATATTTTCTTCAATAATATTAAATTTCATTAGGGAAATTTCAAGGAAAAAAACGATGATCTTCAAAAACTTCTTCATTTACAATAAGAAAGAAAAAACTCGATAGACTGAATTGGGGAACTGAAGTGTTAGAGGGCGAATTTCTACTTCTATCGACAAGCGGCCTGAAGCGATTTCTTAAAGCAAACACAGTCAACTAAACCAAAAGAAAAAAATTATTTTTTTAAAAAATCACTTTATTTGAAAATACATTTTTTAAGCTTGTAATTTTGAAACGCAGTTTTCCAATCCAATCATCAATTAAGTGAATGAAAAAATTAATAAATTAAAAATTAATAAGAAAAGGAAGGAACAACTTTAAATCTCACAGAAATTTAAGTCAAAAATCTGCGAAAAATATTGACCATTTTCCAGAAATCATAACACATATAAATATTTATTTAAGTTCGCATATGAAAAGCTAAATTTCACGATAATGAACGATGAACGATCTTTAATCACATTGGAATTTCGCCTTGCAAAATTCATTGAGGATCGATAAGTTTAAAATATTTAACATAAATTTTTCAAAGTATCTATCAATGTTCAATTTCCACTAAAATAAACATTTATTTAAAAAAAATGGCTAAAGGGATCAAAAATATGCGAAATATGAATATCTATAAAAAGAATGTAAATTGGCCTTATTTATTTATAAACATCGATTTTCGTTTCCGAAAAAAATATAAATATTTACATGGAAACTGAAATATTGAAATTAGATAAATTGTGATCCCTTTGAAAAATCCAGATAATCCAGAGAATCTATTGAAAGCGAATAAGTGAAGAATAGATTAAGTTAGCTGCTAATATTTAGACTCTGGCCATTAGTGCGGTTAAAAGTTTTTGCTATTTGGAATCACTTGGCAATAAAAGCAAAGATTGGTCAGTACCACCACTAGGATTCGGGTTTGCACCTGCTAGATGGAAAAAACCACTGAAACGATAATATAGGCTACTAATCTCTCTGCTATCATCCTTGGCTACTTCGGAACAAATGACAACAAAACGTTCCTTGGAACGATCTCAAAATCAACTTCAATAAAGATCGACTAAAAAGACTAGTTGAACTAATTCAAAATGATTTCCTACATTCAAATGACTGAAAAATAACACGAAAAAATTATGAAAAATATCCAAAATTAGATATTTGACATTAATCGAGGATGAAATATCTTCGAAGAAAAACAAATCCACAAAATGGCTCAGGCTTATTCAATAACAAATTAGTTGCATTAACAGGAAAATCATCTGTCCTCCTCCTTTTCAGTCTCATCAATTTATCATTTGTATGCGCTATCAAACGTTAGAGCGGCAACAAATATCCTCTAGGCGATCAGCGATCACTTTAGAAGAAAATTTAAGATGTAAAAGAATGAATATCTTTTGAAAATAGTTTCGTTAGTGGCTTTAAGGCTTTTTGATGCAAACCGTTTTCTAATTAATCAAAAAATCCAACAGCTTTTTAGAAAAACAAAAAAATAAAAAATATAAGATTATTTAAGATTACTTAATTAAACCACTTACTACTACATAACTGAAAAGTGTAATGATAACCATTAAACAGTATCAAGAAATATAGGTGGGTGCCGCGCGCTATGGGAACTTTTTAATGAAAGGCTTACTGGTAAGTAGCAAATAATCACCAATTTATCAATGTTAAAAGCAGACGCTGAAAAAAGAAGTTTGAAATGACAATCTAAACAATACAATTCGCACACACTGCTTCCAGTAGCCAACAAATTGTGGATCACCAGCACCACCTGAGATTTTATTCCAGCAGGATGTACTTATTCCTCAACATACTTATTCCTCAACTTCTCAACATCGACATTCCAGTTTGAGCAACAGCCCATTAAGCCATTCTATCTTCTTTTACTTTCGCTAATCGGCTACAGGGCAGCTCGAAGAAACGTGTTGTATCTGCCGGATTTTAACACTAGCCATTCTCTGTGGTAATTGTCTTGCCGCCGAAATCTCCATTCCAAAAAATCATCCATTAGAAATCAAATTGTAAATGACAACGAAAAACTCCTACAAAATAATTTTTGCAAAAGTAATGGAAAAGAATTCATCAAAATAAACAATGTTTTTCCCATAAATTTTAAATTTTAGCGAAGGTTTCCCATTAAATTAGATAGTTGTATCACAAATAAAATTTAAAATCATTGATTCTTCCTCGCCATCATGCTAATGAATTCGATTGCCATCTACCGAATCAAACATTCTATCAGATGTTTTTTTGTCGATTTTTTTATAACTAAGATAGGCTTAAAGTTTTTGTCACAGAATCATATGATAAAAACTGAAAAAAAGGAGAAAAACTTAATGAGAAAAACTTTTTTTCCATTCCCATTCGATTATAATTTATAATAAAAATGATAAATAATAAACAGGAAAATCAATATGACTTGTTGTTTTCTGCGAGCTTAGCACCACTAACTTCCTAGATGAAAAACGTTCGCCAGACAGTCACTTGGGGACAGAAATATAGGCTGGCTACCAGCATTATCTGGATTTTTCAATAACAGATCTACGTTAACCAGAGTGAAAGGTCAAGTATAAAATTAAATGATAATCTAAGCAATACACCACTTAGCTAAATAGAGCAATATTAAATTTTTCCAGGAAAATTTAAAGGCAAAAATAAAGACCAAAGCAAGCAAAAGAAATCCGGTGGCCGTGAAAATTTTTAAATGACAAAGAAAATGAAAATAGAATCAAGGCAATAAGAAAGGATTTTGGACGAATTTTTTGCAAAACTGGAATTGAAATATCTAATTGAATTTATTGAATTATCAAATTTAAATGAATTTTAAACTCACAATAAGATTGAGGATCACGAAAAGAATCATGCAAATGGCGATTATCAACTTTAGTAATAAATTATAATTTTTAATTCGTATAAATTATAAGCGCATGGATTGAAAGCAAATAAAATTCAAATTTAATATAACTGAAGCCGAAAAAAACGGATGGAATTGTCGGAAAATTTGGAAGAAAACATAGCAAACTAACATATTATTTTTAAAAACTAAATATCATATAATACAGTGGATTGAAAAAAATAAGTGGTCAGCGCTCGTCATTTTTAGCAAAGTTCATTCTGCTATTTAGAAATTTTTGCCGAGGATCAGTTGGATAGACGAGCCGTCAGCACTAGCAGGGTTTTTTGCCGACAAGTTAACCTGAGTCACTATCAACTCGGTTACCCTGCCCACATTAAACGGCTGGATTGGTCAAGAACTATGGAAAATCGAATGAAGTCAGAAAAAGTCAACTGAAGATCAAAAATCAGTGGAAGAAAAGACGAAAAAAAAGGTAAAAAAAGAACGAAATGAATTGATTGCCTTATGTGATTTATGGATTTATTCGAGGCAACTTTTTTAAATATAAGAAAAACAATGATTAATCGCCCATAAGCACGAATGAGAGAAATGAGTTTCATCGAAAAACTTCATGGATCGAGCCAATATTTGATGAAAATTCATATGGCGAATTTAAATAATCAGCCTGAAATGATAGATTTAAATAATCAGAGATAACGAATTCGGGATCGAATGAAAATTCATATTAGTTTCTCTAGTTTCATAAAAGAAAAATTCAAATAATAAGCCATCGTATTTTCTTTTAAATACCATTTCTCGCACACACTCATACACAGCGAAAATCTCACAAATTCTTTTCTCCATCAAAATATAAGAATGTGAAAAAAATGAAAAGAAGTTCGCAATAATCATTTAAAGCTCTGAGCATATAAATAAAAAATTCATTAATTTTTATAAAACTGAAGGAAAACTTTTATTTTTTAAAATTTAAAACTCAATAAATCGAAAATAAAATAAATCATAATCAAATAAATTAACTGAAAAAAGTATATCTTGAGAATCATTAAGAAATAAAAAATTGAATAATGTGTAAAAGCAAAAACA